ACCTATTTTCTATAAATTATTGTGTACCTATTTTTAATTTATGAAAAATGTAAGGAAATTTATATTACAAACTAACTGACCTAATTTTTTAAAATTTTATTTGGTAAATAATATACCTATATTTTTATACATATATATTTATATTTATATTTTTCATATGTACATTATTGGATATGTAATTTACATGTTATTATTTTTGGTTTGCAATTTTAGGGAGCGATATGTTAGAGGGAATGACAACCAAAATAAATGGGGTGATTGATATGCTATTAATAGGGAGTTTTAATAACAATTATGACAATTAATGAAATGCTTGGAATAAATTATAAATAAAATATGAAGTCTAATGGTAAGGATGTAAAAACATAGGAATACTATGACCTCTTATATCCTACTGGTCATTTAAGTTTGAAATTGAGTTTTACACATAGATTTATATAGAATGATGGGTATATGTCTAGGAAATAGAAATTGTAGGAACGTATATTAGACAAGCCCTAAATTAAATCAAAAGCCACGTCACCGTATGCATTCATATTATAAATTTACTACCATGCCAATAATATATATAATATGTGCCCTTTTTCTTTTCTTTTCTTTTCTATATTTGTTTATGCATGCAAATGCAACTCAAGTGTTGGTTGAAGTATAAATGACATAGAATTAATCGTCTTTTATGATGTTCTTCATGTACTGTGCAGTGACTATTGTGGATGAAGATGACCTTGCAACATATACGATCAAAACAATAGATGATCCACGAACATTGAACAAAACATTGTACTTTCGTCCACCCGAAAACGTACTCACTCAAAAACAACTGGTCGAGATGTGGGAAAACCTTATAGGCAAGAAACTAGAACATATCATCATTTCGCAACAAGACTTCCTTGCCTCTATGAAAGGTATGAACGCAAGAAAATTGCTAAGAAAATTACCAAGTTAATTAATTTATTAGGAAGTTACATTTAATCTATTATTTTATATTTCAGGTATGGACTATGCTGGCCAGGTAGGAGTGGGGCATTTCTACCATATTTTCTACGAAGGCGCTCTGACAAACTTTGAAATAGGAAAAGAAGGAGAAGAAGCTTCAAAGCTTTACCCAGAAGTGAAATACATCCGCATGAATGAATACTTAAAAATTTATGCATGAGAACAAAACAAAGTGTTTAATAATAGATCCTGAAAGAATTAATACATTTATATGTTCTAATCATTTTTATGGACGTTTCGAGCTCTATTAATTGTTGATGTGAGTCTCCTAATTAATCAATGAGATTTATTTCCTTGATTAATTAAGGGATTTATTTTCTTATTTTTTATAATTGACAAATCATTGTATAATTATGAGATACTATCCTAATTGATTACTATATCTATTTCCTTGTAAAGCACTCATGTAAACTCCTATATATACCTCTTTATGGAGAAGAATAAAACTTAACCTAAAGTATTCAAACCATGTAAACTCCTATGTATACCTCCTTAGGAGATACTATATCCTAATTGATTACTACATCGATCTTAGGTTATCTCTAAACCCTCATATCAAATTTCTCATATTCAAACCCAAACCCTAAATCAAATTCCTCAAATCTAAATTCCTCAAATTCTCTTATCAAAATCCCGAACTCAACTCTTATACACATAGCTCTCAAATCAAATTCCTCACATTCTCATATCACATCTTACTTCCGCTACGATGTCAAGACCCCCTACGATTCTCTCCCTTATTACAGACTCACAGAAGCATGCGGTCAATCCTGCTAACCCAGCTACCTCAACTCGTGCTTCTATCACCACCACCAAAGGTTCTGCTTTTCATACGTCCTCTCAAAAATCCGCATGGATTATGGACTTGGGTGCTACGGATCACATGACATTTGATCCTGGTCAACTTATTAGTTGCAAATCATCCACTCCGCCGGTGGTGTCTAATGCTAATGGTACCCCCTCCCTTGTGGTTGGGGAGGGCTCTCTATCTCTCTCCACTTCCCTACATCTAGATTCTATATTGCTTGTTCCATCCTTGGACCATAACTTATTGTCTGTTGCACAACTTACTACTACTTTGGGGTGTACTGTAACATTTTGGCGGAATCATTGTGTTTTTCAGGACATCCTTACGGGAAAGATGATTGGTTGTGGTACTTGGCGGGGCAAACTCTACTACTTGGACTGGGCACCAGATAATGAGACCAAGGTTGGTCAAGCTTTCACAACTAGTGGAACTCATTCTGAGGGGGAGAGAGACAAAGTTTGGTTATGGCATAAATGTCTTGGGCATGCCTCGTTTGATTATCTTAAGAAGTTGTTTCCATTATTATTTTCCAGTCTTGATGTTTCTAGCTTCCAGTGTGATGCGTATGAATTGGCTAAGAGCCATCATGTCCCATTCCCATTAAGTTCAAATAAGAGTTTGGTTCTGTTTTCTCTTATTCATTCTGATGTTTGGGGACCTGCTAAAATTGCCACTTCGGCAAGAGCTCGATGGTTTGTCACGTTTATAAATGATTGCACACGCATGACTTGGGTTTCCCTTCTCAAAACTGAAGGGGAAGTCAGTTCAAAGTTTCAACAATTCCATCAAATGGTGGAGACTCAGTTTCATGCAAGAATTCAGGTTCCTAGTTCTTAAAATGGCAGAGAATTTCTCAACCATGATCTTAACTAATTCTTACAAGATCATGGCATCATACATCAATGCTCATGCCCCTACACTCCCCAACAGAATGAAGTGGTTGAAAGAAAGAACAGAAATTTATTGGAAGTAGTTCGTGCCTCTTTCTTTAGTGCTAATATGCCACGATCTTTTTGGGGAGAAGCTGTCGTCTCTGCAGCATACCTCATCAATCAGATTCCCTCTACTATCCTAAATTTCCAAACACTACTTCAAACACTTCACCACCATATCCAAATACCTCCCACCCCAAACTTGGAACCCTGGATTTTTGTTTGTGTTGTATTTGTCCACTTACATGATCACCAACGAAGCAAATTGGATCTCCTAGTCGAAAAGTGTGTTTTTATTAGCTATGCAACTCATAATAAAGGATACCAGTGTTATCATCCTCCTAGGAGGAGAATCGAGAATCCACCACTCCTCAAATTCTGGATTTTTTCCCCAGGACGTCACTCTGCTTCAAAATGACCAGTTGCCAGTGGAAAGAGACCGGTAGGCCCCCCTTAGCTCTTCGAACACGGAGAATCTGCTTCAAAATGACCAGTTGCTAGAGGAAAGCGACTGGTCGCCCCCCCTTAGTTCTTCGAACATGGAGAACCTGCTTCAAAACGACCAGTTGCCAAAAGACAGCGACTGGTCACCAGAGGAAAATGATCAGTTGTCTCCACGCCGTCAAACTCTGAAGGAGGAAATTGAACCATTTTATGAGATTTTGCCCGCTCCGGAGAATTCTTGAGCTCTAGTACCACACCAATTACCTACTGAGAAAGTCATTTAGGTAACATATTTCCTTGAAACTGATAATACTAATGAAATATCCCATGATGATTTGATTTCAGAAGGCACAAAACCTACATATCAGTTTCCAGAAAGGAAGAACCGTGACAAACCTCGAGTACGATATGAAGCATATCTTAAAGCCAAAGGTAAATACCCATCAATAATTATATATCACTTAGCAGATTATCAGAGGCACGTATGCACTTTGTGAAACAGTTGGCTGACATATCTGTCCCCAACAGTGTGACTAAAGCACTAGAAGACCCAAAATGGAAAGAAGCGATGAATGAAAAAATGCGAGCCCTCCAAAAGAATGTCACATGGGAACTCGTGCCCTTACCTCATTGAAAGAAGACAGCAGTATGTAGGTGGATTTATACTGTGAAACTCAACGCAGATGGATCCATTAAAAGATATAAAGCTAGATTAGTGGCGAAGGGGTACACATAGAGATATGGGATAAACTATCAGGAGACCTTTGCCCTAGTAGCCAAGATTAACACTCTCAAAGTCCTCGATTGTCCATTACATTAGTTTGATGTAAAAAATGCATTCTTACATGGAGACTTGGAAGAAGAAGTATATATGGACCTACCACCAGGATGTAATTTAGCTCGTGACAAGAATAATCACGTTTGCAAGCTTAGAAAGTCATTATATGGATTAAAGCAATCTCCCAGAGCATGGTTTGGCAGATTTACTAAATCTATGAAGAATTTTGGATATACACAGAGTAATTCAGATCACACCCTGTTCATGAAGCGTGATGGTAGAAGACTTACTGCATTGATTGTTTTTGTAGATGAAATAGTTTTAACTGGAAACGACACTGGAGAGCAACTGAAGCTGCAAAAGCATTTGTCTCAGGAATTTGAGATGAAGGATTTAGGTGATCTGAAGTACTTTCTCGGAATTGAGGTAGCAAGGTCAAAAATTGGTATATTTCTGTCTCAAAGGAAGTATGTAATGGATCTACTCACCAAAAGGGTTTGAGTCTCAAGACAATTGTATTGCAGACACAGGAGCAACTCATCGCACGACACCAAATTTATCTGTGCTTGAGATTGCTACTCCATATGATCAAGATGACAAGATAATTGTTGGCAATGGGGAAGGTTTGCATGTTCAACGTATTGGCAGGACAAGGCAACAAGGGCAGTTCTTCTCAAAGGAAGGAGTAGCAAAGGACTTTATCATTTTCCTAAATCTCTACCATTCACCTCTGTTTCTTCACCCACAGCCTTTCTTGATCAGAAAATAAACCACATCACGTGGCATCAATGCTTAGGCCACCCTAGTAATGAAGTACTTGTGAAGATGTTGCACTCTTCTCAAATAGTATGTTCTCCCGATTCTTCATCTATTTGCTCAGCTTGCTTAGGTGGTAAAATGTCTAAGCTTCCTTTTCTTGTAAGTTCTGACAGAGTAGTACATCCCTTTCATAAATTTCATAGTTATATTTGGGGTCCATCTTCAATTGTATCCATTGAGGATTATAGAAATTTTGTACTGTTTATTGATGACTGTACTAGATTTATCTAGATGTTTCCTCTTATCAATAAATCAGTCGTTTACTCTACTTTTGTCAAGTTTCATGCCTTCATTTCTACCTAATTTTCGGCTTCTATTAAGATATTGCAAACTGATGGGGGAGGAGAATATCACTCATTTGTTTAAACTGTTTTTGACATCTAAAGGGATATTGCATCAAGTGTCTTGTCCTTACACTCCCCAACAAAATGGGTAAGTGGATAGAAAAAATAGCCATATAATTGAGACTTCTGTTACCTTGATGATTGCAGCAGCTTTACCTATTAAGTTTTGGTCACATGCATGTCTACATGCTAGTTTTTTTAACAATCAAATGCCTTCTAGGACTTTGGCCATCCTTTTGTGTGGCCATCCTTTTATAGAGGTCTCGGGAGCTAGGGTTTCAGAGGAATAATTCCGTAGATGGAAGGGAATTATTCCTCCCCAATTTGGCGAGATTTGACTAATTAGGGATTTGATTTATTGGGGATATAAATCAAATCCCTAATTGTGGTAATTAATCAAATCAATACCTAATTTAATTAGGTAACTCCTCCTTTAATTGATCGTCAACCTAATTAGGTAACATTCTATTTAATTGGGTAATCCCCAATTAAATTGAATAATTCCCAATTAGGTCAAATAATCCCCAAATGGAAGGAATTATTTGACCTAGGTTTACGAATTAATCGGTTCCCACAAATGCCCCCCAACTTCTGCATGGCGCGTGGTGGCATGTAGGAGATGTAGATCATCTGTTGGGCTATCCTGCTGTAACTGGGCTTCCTTCATGGATTTGGGCTCCTGGGTAGAGGAGGTTTTTGACTTGCCAATTTTATGAACACCCAAGTTGGAAAGAGTTTGCGATTCCTTGTAGGTCAAGGAATTTTTTATCCTTATAAATATAGGGCTCCTCCAATTTATCCTTCACATCAAAAATCCATCCCTTCAACTTCCTTAGTGAGAGAGAGAAAGCTTTGGAGAATTTTTTTTGTGTCTCTGACTTTTGGCAGCTTGGGCTGTGCCTTGTGTGATTGATAATAAGGCTGCAAGGGGTGTGTAATTGGTTTGGCGCATGGCATGAGCATGCCTGGAGGATTAGAAGGGCTGTGCAGCTTGCGGATTGGCTCGTGGAAGTGCTGTGCTGGAGCAATAAGGTGATGGGCCTTTGCATGTTGTGGGCCCGAGCTGGAGTTGGCGTGCGCAAGGTTGGAGAGTGCAGGCTGAAAACGATGGGCTAGGTGAGCGTCGTGGGCTGCGCAGATGCTGGAGCAGGCGGGCTAGCGCTAGAGTCGATGGGCCTGGCGCAGGACATGGGCTGCGCAGCCTGGAGCGGATGGGCAGGTGTGCACGCCGTGGGCCACGCGCGCGAAGTAGGCCAGGGGCTGAACGCGAGCTGGGCTTGCGCTGGTGCTGGCGTGACATGGGCCTGCGCTGGAGTGCCTGCTGGGCTG